GAACGTCAAATCAGCTGGATGACCATCAAAAGAAATTGGCTTGATTATTTTGAAGTAGATGCGTTAATTCCTTAAAACTTCCTCTCAGATTCTCCCCTCCTCTGCACAAGTAACCCAAATTAACAGAGTAGCTCTCTGTCCCCCTCTTGTGATAGGACCAAGAGGACTTAAAATCTCCTGGAAGGAGGTAATATTAAAAGAATATTAAAATATGCCCTTTACAGCACATACTACAACTCGGTGCTTGAGACTACTTATTAATCCAAAGGTTTAGTTCCTTCTTCTGACAACCAAGTTACTGTCCTGCTACATATAAAATATTTGCTCACCCTGTGCCCCCACAGCATGACAATCATTTTCCCTGACAGCCAGTGAGCAATACTGCCCATCTCACTCTGAGCCCCTCTGTTTCTAGATGAATGGGCCAGATAGAGGCGTGCAACTGGAGAAATAGATCTTCTGAAGGGGAGGAAACTTCCCTCCTCAAAGGAGTAGAACCCAGTTTTCTGATAAGCCATCCAGCACTCACACCCCAGACCAAGATTGTGTTCCTCTCTTTCTCCTTTGTTGAAATGTTAGCTCACACACCATCACCTCTGTCTCCATTAAATGCCTTGGTTTGTGTGCTTTAATTCTCCTGCTGTCTACTACCACCACCAAAGTCCCTCCAAGAGAGTAAACGGCTGAGAGCGGCTCTATAGCTACCGCCTTCAACTAACTCATCAGGCTCCAGGGCAAAGACTTCTCAGCAGCACCATTTCAGGGAGCTGCGAACAGGAGAACCTGGAAACCCTTCATCTGGAAGCAGAGGAGGTGGGAAAGGAGATGGGCTGAAGAGGAGCCTTCTCACTGGTGTGCCCTCCTTCTCAGTAGCTCCCAGCTTCTAACAGGAAGCCCCACACCATGGGCTACATTATATATACTAATGTATCATCTAAGCACAAATAAGCAACAGCCCCCCCTCTAGCACGGAAGCTTTGAGGATCCTCCTGCTTGCTCACAGCTCAGGCAGAGCCAGGCACGACCCAAAACGTGAGCCCGGAACAAATCAAGTATCTGGCTGGGAAAGCCGTGGGAGACGCTGCACTCCGAGGTGCCCCTGCCATGTTAGCACGAGTGTTTGCTTCAGATTCTGCCTTATTGTTGCTCGATGAAGTGACTAAAACGGAAATGTTCCGGGGATTAGGATTCCCGAGTGATCTAATACAGGACGCTTTGGGGTCTAAAGGGGGAGGGAAAAAGAATACCTAACTAGCGAGCGGCGAGGCTGGCGCTGCTCCTGAGCTCCCCTCCCCACCGCCACCCTTTCGCCTTAAAAAAAAAGGGCCGAATGTTACCATTTTTGGACATGAGTCCTCGCAAGCCCTGCCCTAAACCACACCATTCAAACGAGAAGCCAGTCACCGTCCCGCTGCCGGGACGGGGAGGCCGGAGCGCGGGCAGCGGGCGGCCGGCGGAGGGGGCGCGGGGGGGGCCTGCCACCGCTCCCCGCTGCCCCCCGGTGTCCCCGCTCCACCCGCGCCCACCTGCGGGCCCTGTTGCCGGTGACAGGGCGGACATCTGTTGCTGCGGGGAGACCCGCCGCCGCACCTCCCTCCCCTCCGCGCCCTGCCATCACCTGCCCACCCGCCCCTCCCCGCCCCGCCCGCCACGCCAGCCTCGGCCAGGAGCGCACCGGCCCCGCCGCAGCCGGTGGGGGTGGCGAGGCCGGGTTCCGGCGGCCCTGCGGTGCGTGTGTGTGAGGAAGAGGAGAGCGGCACTCTCACCTTCCTCTGCTGCTTCTCCCAGGCCGGGTCGAGGAGCAGGTCCCGGTCCCAGTCCTCCTCCGGCTGCATGTAGTCGTTGGTCTGCTGCGGGTCGTAGTGATCCATGGCTGCTGATGCTACGGCCCGTCTCTGTCCCGTCCGTCAGACCCGTCCTCCCGTGTCCCGCCCGCCCCGGTGGCTGCCCGCTGTGACCGGCCCCGCGGCCGCTCAGCCTGAGCAGGCGGCGGCGGCGCCCGCTCCCACCTCTCCGCCTCAGCCGCGCGCAGCACGGCGGGGGCGGGACGCACCGCCCCGCCCGCGGTCTTGCCCCCGCGCCTCCCATTGGCAGACACCCGCGACAGAAGCTGCAGCTCCCAGGCACAGCGCCTCGCTCATTGGTGGATTAACGCGTCCGTCACAGCACCCAGCCTCCGTGATAGGCGGGCTGCGCTCCGCTGCGTCCCGCCCCCAGCCCCGCCCCACACCTCCCCCGCGACGGCGGCGGCCGTGGCTGAGTGGTGCTGATGCTGATGCTGAGTGATGCAGGGCCGTGGCCCCGGGCTGGGCCGGGCGGGGCCGGGAACCTTAGTGCCGCTTTCGGGGCATTTTTGTCCCAAAAGCTCGGCGGCGGCAGGGCAGGGCGGGGCGGGGCGTCGGTACGCGGGAGCGGGCCCCTCAGATCCGCTCTCAAGGGCTGAGAGGCGCGGGGGGTGGCGGAGCAGCGCGGGTCAGGGCAGCACTGTGTCCCTGTGAAGATGTTTTCACGTGGCACAGCTGGCGGCCCGTCCTCTCGGCCCCAGCCTTCCCGTCCTGCAGCCACCCCCCTCGGAAGACAGCTTGCTCGTGGGGTCATACGGGTGTGCGCGCACCTAGGGTGCCAAAACCGAACTTATTTTCTCTTGTTCTTGACAGGTAACTGGGTCTAGGTTAGGATCGCCAACACTGCCGGCCGAGACTTCACACCCGCAGTCAACAGCCGTGCACCCAATGAGACCCTGCCAGGCATGCCTGTGCTTTCTACCCACGGAGACCCTGTTTAACAAGAGAACGCCAAACGACAGTGCAGTTGGCTCATCTAGTGGCTTCCCAGGAGAGAGAGACAAACCGTGAAGGAGTGTACGGATGCACAACTGTTTCACATGGGTTTCTGTCAGTTAAACTGAGTGAAGGGATTGAAAAAAATACAGTGGCATTATTAGTTTACCCCTGTAGTCTCGCAGACAAGAAAGATTGTATCAGTCACAAGAGCGAGAGGAAGCTCAAAGAAATGCCTCTCCACAACACCACCCAGGGCAGAGTGAGCTCGTGTCACAGTTCATCCAAATTCAGAGGAAACAGAGTTTGTGGCCCATGAATGTGGAAAAGAGAGGTGCTGAGAATGGACAGGAAGAGTGCTGCAAAGCATTGGGTTAAGTTGGCAGAAATGCTCAGCATTAGGCAGGATTTAGACCCAAACTACACCAGTGAGCTCCTCTTCCAAAAGAGGGGACTTTGTTTCCTGCTTGGTACAAACACTGGAGGTGAAATCGGACATACTCTTTCGCTTCATGGCGTAAATAACTGCGCAGACCATAATGGGCAGATGCTCTGTATGGTACTGTCTTCATGTGTCATATGATGCTCCCTGTGTACACTTTGAGACATCATAAACACAAATACAATTGTCAAAAAGCTGTTCTGCACCTTTCAGAGACTTGTATTTACCCTATCATGCATCACTTGGGGTAGAAATATTATTTAGATATGTAAGTACAGTAATAGCCATGATTTTCAAAAGCAATGCAAGATGTCTCCATTTTGAGACCATCTGGGAAACCAGGCCACTCAGGGCATCCCAGCTCAGGGCAGCCAGAAGCAAGGAATCCAGGACTACCAGACACCTTGGGAATCCTCCTGGATGCCATCCATGATGAAGTGCTGGGGAATGTGAAATAGTCCTGTCGCTCTGGAGAGGTGGTAATGGACTTGAAAGAAACTTCCCCCTGTTCTGCACTGCAGAGAGGGGTGGATGATGGTGCTTTTTGAGAAGGAGAGTGGAGGACTTTACATTAAGGGAAAAGTGTAAATCATTAGGGTTTGAAGAGAAACAGTTGATTTTCTTTCGTACAGTCGATGAACACCCAGTTACAGAAATTCTGAACGAACAGTTACAGCCTGATCATGTAAGAACTTAGAGACAACAAACATATCTAAAAAATTATTGTCTTCCAGTTTTTCTTATTTATCAAGGCACTTCCAGCTGGAGGAATCTAGAAGAATAAAAAAATTGGCAAGATCTGGGGAAAGAGGGAGGAAGGAAGTGAACACATTCCCTGACTGAAGTTCTGAGCTTTGTATTTTAAGGGGGGGGGGGGGGTGTCCTGCTGCTTCCCCAGTCTTGTACTTTGAGAGCCCACTACTGAAAGCCACTTTTTACAACTCCGCAGATGTGGGGAGAGGTCTCAGCTGCCACTCAGGGAGGGAAGGTTTTCAGCATTTTCCAGGAGACGCTCAGCACCATGGAGATCCAAGCCCTGAGACAGCGTGGACTTCTGTGAGGCTGAACCTTCAGGACCCTGCCTATTTGGTTCCTTGGAGTTGAGTTATGAAGTAACTATTCCCATAGTTGTAATGTTATTATTTTTAGCTGCGTAAAATACACCTAGTGATATCTCTTAACAGAGCCTGGCAGTACTATAATTATGTTATTAATTGCCAATATCCCATTAATTGACATATTTCTTCTTGCACAGGACAGAGGATGGATTAGATTTAATGTACAACATCAGTGCAATAAAACACAATGAAATCAAGAACAACTGTGAGGTTTCTAGTGTGTTAGAGCCTCCTAATTGTCCCTGACATTTATATTTTTAACATCACGATTCTCACTTCTCAAAATCCTTACTAAATTTCTAAGAAATATCTTAATTTTTCTCTTCTAACACCATCTCAGCTCTTAGCTTTCCATGGACTCCTTTACAAAAGTGAGAGATTGTTCTTGGCCAGAGTATTGTGAACTCATGGGCAATAGTGGCAGGGCAAGCAGGGGAAAGATTGTTTCTAATCTTGGGATAGTTCCCAGATCCACTCGACCATTGCCCTTGCAAGAAACTGTACCAGCACCATGAAGGGGAAAAGACAAGCTCACAATGGGAGAAGGAAGCACAGCAGCAACAGGAGCTACAGAAGCCAGTGCTGCTGATGGGAAAGATGCCCATGGTCACCTAGGGATAACAGGAAATGAAGCAAAAAGGGAACAACCACAGGAGTACTCTGGTTTTCCTTATTTAGTCTCCTAGAGTTCTTCTCTGCACAAGATTGCTGCTGATTTCCTTGGGCTGTTAGTTAAACCTTGCTGGACCACATGGGTCGCTAATATGGTCTTCCCAATCCAATGAAGGGAGAGTGGGCTTTTTCTAGGGCAGTGGGCAGATTACTGTTGGAACAGTTGGATGTACATCCTACTTCTTCAGCCTGTAACAGTTGAAAAGAGGAAGGACCCCATGTGTATTGGGATATTTCTGGTTACTGTTTGCTGCTTTTTCTCTTTGTGCTTAGCATATTAGCTACAGGTCATGAGGTTCCCTGGGGAGATATCTGTTTTCTTGCCAAGAACATCCATAAGCTTCTGTAATGAGGCCCAGCAGGTGAGCTCAGTCACCGTACAACAATGAACAAGGCTGTGTTGAAGTGGCCCTTGACTTTTGTTTTGGGAAGCCTCACAGCCAAGTTTCAGCACTTCTATTCTGCAGATACACAAAACATTTGTAGCTCTGAGATTTAGCACTTGGTTTTGAACTGCATGATGGGCTCCTACTGTAAAATATTCAACAAGTTGCAGCCTTTCTCATAGCTTTTATTTCCTCAGTCCAGTAAAAACTCAGTTCCTCTGAAGTGCAGATGTTAATTTGGTGGAGTTCAGTGGGGTATATTCTGTGCTTTGTGGGAGACTAGGGAGGGGAGCAGCTCATGCCCAGAGACTGGGTAAAACTCATGGTTTTAAGTGGTGCCAGCGATAGCTGAAAATGAGGGAAAAAAAGGAACAGCCAAAGCAAGGATGCTATGTTTGTAGGAGAGGAGAAAGGCGCCTGCATGAAGCTCCCACTTACAAAACATATTCTCTCTCCTTCAGAGCCTCTTCACCTAAGTTGTGTTCCTCTTCTGCTCTGCCTTCACCATCCTAACTTCTCTTTCCCTTAATTTCCTCTCCCATTTACCTGAACTGCCAAAGTTGGCTCCGCAGCCTGCACCCTGGCAGTAACACGACTTCTGGGACTGCACAAGTACCTAAAGAATGTGTTATCTCCTCCTTCTGCTGTCTGGGGTTAGCCGTGCTTATTCAGAGCACAACCTTTAAGGCGCACAGTAAGCATTTGCTAATGTTGTTTGAAGTGTGTCATTCTGAGAAAAAGATATTTTTTTTCCTCCTGTAAAAACCTTGATTTTACTTTTCTAGCAGACCAGATTGCTCCCTTTGCTTTGACATTGTCACCTGAACACTTGAACTATAGAATCCGGAATTATACCTCCAGTTCCATATTCCTGTTATCACATAACCATTGTAACCATTTTCATCCCACAAGGCAAATTGAGTACTTAACCAACAATGCCTATGTACTTCCCTTTGCTTCTACCCTTCACCCCTGAAGGGGAAGGTGTTTGCTGCTCAGAAGTGCACAGGAGCATCATGTGCAAGTGAAGCAGGCTCAACTTGGGCAGCTGCTGAGCTGGTTCTGCAGATGCATGTAGAGGTTAAAATCATCCAGTGATTTTGCTAAAATACACTGCCACATTAGGTGCCCATGAGACACACTGTGCAGTGAAATTACTGTCTCAGTGGGGTTAACATCCTTGTTCTATGGCATGGGCACAGATACCTTCAGTCACCCATGGTCAGGGCTTCTCATTTTCATGTTTTACCTACTAGTTGCCTTGTACTGATGGGTAGGTCTCAGTGGGCTTGCTTGCTCATCCCTTTCAGTTTTCTGTGTCAGTCTTTAAAGGACACCCCATTTCACAGCCCTGGCACTTTCAAATGGTCAGCCTCTGTCTGGCCCAAACAATAAGGAGGCTGGGGGAACGGAGATGCTAAAACCAACAGCATTTTACATGTTTCTACAAGAAAGAGGGAGTGGATTAAAGTGCAGAAGAGGTCACACTTCAAATCAGAGACCTGACAACTGATATATCCATGTACTAAACAAAGGCTTAATCTAGGCCATGCTCAGTGCAGACTCTTCTGTGGAGGCAACTGAAGGGGAAGGGGCTGACCTGAGGCACAGGGGAAGCCATGGTGCAGCACTGCCCACCTCTACAAGCAGAGCTCCGCAGGGCAGAGGCAACCTGTGTCTTTCCACATGGCCAAGGCAGCTGTGAAAGAAAGCAGAAGAGACTGTTTTTTTCTGGAGACTGTGGATGAAATCCAGGCTGGCTCATTCCTGGTGCCACCAAGGGGGAAGCTCAGATCTGAGTCTCTTGTTCTCACTCTCTGCCTGAGCAGAGCTTGTCAGATGATGTGCCCATGGCTTGCAGAAGCAAGAGACACCATTTGTTGCTTCTCTCACTTCCTGCATAGCTACCTCAAATTAAACTTCCTAGGCACCAAAACTGCCCATGGAGCAAGTGTGACAAGCTTTGGAGGCAAGTATTGTGAAGTCTTTCTGGAAAGGAAACAGCAGCAAGATGGTAGCAGAAAAGCAAGCACAGGGGTTGGTCTCTCTCCAGATCCACCTTTGCACTCACAGAAAATCTTTGCTGAGAGAGTCACTGAACTCTCATACATGTCACTATTTAGCCCCAGCATAAAAACTTCACTGAAAACCCCTTCCCTTCACTTCGACGCCCTCCATAACTGTACAAGTTTTGCACAAGAGAAGTGTCCCTGGTTGGAGATTGCAGATTATGTGAAGCAGCCATGGTTCTGCTGCAGTGTACACTGGGCCTGCCAAGGATAACACCACAGAAATGGATTACCAGAGGGCTCAGTGCTCTCAACACACAGTCCCTCCATCCCCAGCAGGCTATGTATGCAGAGAATACAGAGAGCTGCTGTGAGTCCTCATGGTGCATAAAGTGCATTTGCTTGCAATTTTTGCTCCCTCATGCAGGCCCAGGATGATCCCACAGGGGGAACCACAGAGGGCGAAGGGTGGTAGAAACCTGGTACAAAGCAAAATGTGTTGTGAGCAGGCCAGGCAGCTACTGCCGTCTTTGATTTTAGGTGGAGGAGTTCATGGTGTGAGATGGCGTAAGTTTGCATTGCTTTGCTTTTAAGGCTATGTTAGTTATAGGTGGCAGAGCAAACACAAAAGGAACAGGTATCAAGATCTGGAGCAGGCTGTACTGTGAGTGGCCAGGAATGCTGTGTTACTGCTGCAGCATGGCAAGGGGTTTGTGCTATGCAGGCTGATGCAATGCCAGGGCTGCAGCTTTCAGGCCTTCTGCTGGAAATCCATGCCCAGAGGTGCACATACACAGTGGTGTCATTTGTAGGACATGAAAACGAAGCCTTCTGTTCCCCTCAGGATTTGCAAGGCCATGGATGGAGTTCTGTGTGTGGCTCTGTGTGCCAGGTTTTAAGAAAGATACACATCAGCTGGAGAGAGTCCAAAGGAGAACTAACAAGAAGGCTCAGAGGTCTAGAAAACCTGACCTTTGAGGGGATACTGAAAGCAGGCTTGTTTAGTCTAGGGAAGCAAAAACTGAAGTGAGACACAGTAGCAGACCTCAAATATGCTAAAGTGTACTGTAAAGCAGAAGGCAGTACAGCCATTTGCCATAGCCACTGGAGAAAGTGAGAACAGCCAGGATAGCAAAGCACTTGAGGAGGCCACCAAAAGAAGCTGCTGAATCTCCACTGCTTGAGGCTTTAAAGAACAAGTAGAACAGGCATCAGAAAGGGTAAACATCAAGGACAACTCATTCCACCATGAGCCCAGAAGAGCTGGGATCCCCTCCAGCTCTGCTTCATAGCCCTGCAACACAGCTTCAGGGGGTAAGACAGTACTACAGAGCAAAATCACATGATTGCAAAGAGAAGAATGATGGAAGAAAAGTGTTTACAGCTCCAGGGATGTAAAAATGTAAAATCAGACATATGGAACCTGACCCAGACAGTCCCATCAGATGCCCATGTGTAAAGCACATTGCAGCCTGACTGCAGCAGGAACTTGACTCAGCTGAGAGAGGTGACTGTGGTGAAAGGGGCTGTGTGAAAAAAATACAACCACACTTTTATGTACACTTGCAGGGACAAAAACTGCTTTAAATCCACTTGCAGCTTTCTCATAAAGGAACTGGCAGTTCTCCTTTGTGTTACAACTACCAGTTAATACACCATCAGCACTCCAAATGCTGAGAAGGGATGCTTCGCTCCTAGTTTTAGCATTGAAAGGTAATTCTCATGGCCTCTCCACATCCTCAAGCTTTTAGCATTGATTGTTTACATCAGTAGCAAAACAGGTCACAGTGACATGGGACTGCAAACTATATTCACAATCCATGCATGGATATGAGGCCGCAGTGACACAGAGTTCATAAAGGGCTGAGAAAATGCAGATCCATACGGCTGAAGGGAGGTTGACCATCATCATTGGTCCACCAACAGAACATGGGTGTTCTTAAAATTAGGGCTAGTTTTTACCTGCTAGCTGTGGTCTTCAGGATGTGACTTGAGGCTCCTGTAATATCATCTGGTGCTCCAAAGGCCACAGCTGAGCTGCAGGTGTTCGGTGTCTTCTCTACCACACCAAGCCACCCACGTTCACCAGCAGCAGAGGTGGCACAGCTCAGCACAGTGTGCTGCAGAGAAAGAGCTCACTTCTTTCAGAACAGTAGTTGATACAACTGGTATCCACACCAACAGCCTTCGAGGTATGCCAGATTTTTCCCAGCATATAATGGTGCATCAGTGAAAGGTGAATATGATGCTGATCCAAATTCACACTTGTCTCAGAAGCTGAGCAGGATCCACACGTTGAGCCTGAAGCTGCAGCTCCATTCACTTGCCTTCCCAAAGTGCACTTGCTGGAGCCTAAAGCTGTCCATGGTACAAGGAGGGATGGCTGAGGGCTTCCCCTGAAGAAGCCCCTTCATTCCGTTTCTCTGGAGGGTGCAGGGAGCAGCTGGTGGTTGTCAGCATCCACAGAGCAGGTTAAGCTCCTGTGCTCCACAAGCAAAAACTGCTGTACAGCAATGTTTGGGGGTCATGTATACTTTTGCACACAAAATCATCTTGTGCTCATTATGCTTGTCTCTTAACTGGCTCATTCTCCTTGCTGTTTCTTCTCTATACAGTGGGAGCAACCGTGCACAGCTACCTCAAATCAAACCACACACAGTGCAAAGTTACCTCCTACACCAGAAAGCTTCTTATTTGGGAAGCAGCAGCAAACCTTATACCTTTATACTTTGCAGTTGCTCCACCATCAGAAAGGTCACATTTATGGAGCAATATATCCAGAGCTGTAAAATGGTGTTTGAAGAAGATGCACAACAAGCAAAATGCTGCGGGGCCACACCAACAGCACACAGCAGGGATAGCCACTCAGCAAAGCAAACTAGATAAGCTGCTCTCCCCAGCTTCCTTTAATGTCTTCTTTTGTGGGATTTCCCCCTTCTCCCCATCTTCTCATATAATGCACACCTGTGATTTTGCTCATAAGGGGAGCCTTCAAACCAGCATTGCAAGTTCCAGGCTTTCTGGCAATCCTGTGCCTCTGTTGGCTTTTCTGAACTATGACTACTCATTGTGCCTTCCCTCTAAGCCTACTATAAAACTAGCTTTGAAATATCACAAGTAAAGAGGATTATGAAAGGCAAAGAGTGGTACTTCCAGACCAATAGAAGGAGGCTCCCAGCTGCTGACTGTATGCACACCCCACCTGCACTCTCTGTGGCTGTAGCCCAGCAGTCGTGGCCAGGGCTCAGAAGTCTCTTCACTGTTCAGAGAGCTTGGCCCATGAGCAGGTCCTTCCCTGTCCCCAAGAGCTCATCCCAGGGCACCCTGATCCCCATTTATATATTCTGCTTCTTTAACTTTATTTTTCTCCCTGAGAAAGCTCCAGCTACTTCCTCAATAGCAGAGAGGGAGATGAAGGGGCTGAGAACTAATAAATAACATGAATTGGTAGAACAAACCTCACGTTAAGCCTGAGGTTTGTCTGTCAAGACACCACTCTTCTATTTCTTTTGTTGGGCCAACCACAACCCCTGTGGGCATGTTTCCTTCCTGACCTTTAGGAGATGAGTAGAAAAATCTAGAAAATGCTGCTTTGGCTTTCTCCTTTTTTTGGCAGGATACACGTCAGGGCCTTCCCTGCGGCTGTGCTCCTGCCATGGGAAGGACAGATGGGATCCCATGAGGGGTGCCTGGGAATCAAATTGGAGGCTTTTATATGACTTGACTTGAAGCTTTAAACGGGGGTTTAGCGCAGTTGCTGTCCAGCCGAGCAGCTGGTGACCTGGCAGTGTTCCCCCTGCCTAAGCGATGCGCACAAGCTGTATCACTGCATTATGTGTGGATTGCACTCACAGTTGCCCACTCCCTTGCTCCCTGGCTCCAACGGTGGCCAGCACTTGCTATAGGGACAAGAGTCAAATGCCCCTGCTCATCCTGGTGGGCCATGCTACCTGCCTACCCCGGGTTCCCCCACCCTGGGCTGAGCCTGTCCCCAGGCCGGGAGCCCAAGGTTCATGTTCACAGCCATGTACGGTAAGGCAGGCTCCCGCGGGCTGCCCCGCAGCACGGCCGCAGGGGGGAAAGAAAGGTGGAAACCTTCCAGCCTTGTACGGAGCCCTGGAGGCTGCTAGGACCAGAGCTGAGAAACTGAGAGCTAAACGAAACCAGGGGCAAGAGAAAGAAATACTGAGCGTGGAGCTCAGGGTGGACTGACCGCTCCAGACATCTGCGCTGTGTAAGTAACTGTCTAGGTAAAGGTGTGCTGCTTGATGTGCCCTCCAGCACACAGACAGAAAGCGGTGCTGCTTTCCTCTCTGGGAATAGAAAGCTGTCCTTACAGCTCGCCTGGGTCTTCCCCTGCCGAAAAGGGAGAGCTGCTTGTTAATATAAAGGAAGATGTGGTTTTCTCTTGGGTTACGGCCAACAGCGAACTCATCATAACTATTCCTGGCCAAAAATACCCCTAACGTCCCTACCCCATTCTCTTCACAGGGCAGAAATGAATGGGGTTTCAGCACTTGCACTTTCAATGGACTGGAGGCAGTCTGTTGGGGCCACAGCACTGGCTCTGGGAAGCAGAAGGCACATAAGCATTCGAGAGGAAGAACAGTCCTGCCGTGGCCATCAATAAACTCATAGCCATTCATGCTGTTATAACTATGAAATAGAGGGTTTTAAGCATAAGAAATGCACATCAGATTTCTATTATCTGTGTGCCAGAGGCCAAATGCAGCATGTCTCTGACCCTATATATTTAGTGAGAGCAGTGCTGTAGGAGAGCTTGGCAGCTTTGGGGGTGCAGTGGGAGCCCCGTCATAGGTAGAAGGGTTCAGGCCTTGGGGCTGATGCAGTGGGACCCAGTTCTGTCTCGTCCTGGGCAAGTGAGGGCCTTGGGAAGAGATCGTTGCAGCCTTGGCACATACCTAGCCCACCTCCTCTGTCACTGAACCACTGGCATCATCTCATCTGGCCTACACTGGGTGGTAAACACCTGCCTTCCTTCAGTCTGCAGAGAAGAGTTGGAATCTATTTCCATGAAAATTGTTAGAGAAAGGCTAATGGTTAAAGGCTAAAGTGTCACCTCCCTATCCCCAAACGGCAATGTACTGCCTCATGGGAATCCTGTATTCCAGATGAAGGAAGGCCAAGCTGGATGGAGCCTAGTTGAAGGCATCCCTGCCCGTGTCAGGGGGCTGGAGCTAGATGGTCTTTGAGGTCCCTTCCAACACAAACCAGTCTATGATTCTATGAATGAACCTTACAGAGAGAGAGATGTGGCAGCTGCCTGTCATATGGAAGAAGAGAGCCAGCCTCACATGCAGAGGTGGACTTGTGGCTGTTGTGTATCCTGATGCTTGACCACAGCCCTTTTCTGCTCTAAGTCAGCTCTCCAGCCAAGATGCTTGTTACCAAGGTCTCCTCCTCCATCTTAGCATTTTGGCAATACACAGCCTGGTATGTCTTGCTTATCCCACAGCTCTGAGAAGCTGACCCCAAGCAGGCACCACTGACTCAGTCACTGGACAAGAAGCAAGGACATCCCCATCAAGGGAAAAGAGAAAGAAGAGAATGAGCCACAAGGTGAGTGTGCTGGCCTCTTTCTCCTTACCACTCATCTCTAGCTTTTCTTTTTTTTTAATTACCTCATCTCACGGTGTATCTCTACTGCAGTAATTCCTGTGATAGTTCAGCTTGCAGGTATTTGGAAAAACAGCTATAGTCGGGTCCAGCAGAAACCATCAACCATCTCCCATTGTTGATGGCAGTGTACAGATCCTGGGGCAGAAAATGGCATCAAGGCTTTTTCTCTTGCAGCAATTGCTGTGTAAGTTATGTACATTGTGCCCAAATGGTTACAGCTGGAAAAGCTGAGATAATGGAGCATTGTGCCTTGGAAGGTTCAGGTCGAAGGAGGTGACCCTGCCTCTCTACTCTGCTCTAGTGAGACCTCACCTGGAGTATTGTGTGCAGTTCTGGTGTCCTCAACATAAAAAGGACATGGATCTGTTGGAACAAGTCCAGAGGAGGGCCACAAGGATGATCAGGGGACTGGAGCACCTCCTGTATGAAGATCGGCTGAGAAAGTTGGGGCTGTTCAGCCTGGAGAAGAGAAGGCTGCGTGGAGACCTCATAGCAGCCTTCCAGTATCTGAAGGGGGCCTATAGGGATGCTGGGGAGGGACTCTTCATTAGGGGCTGTAGTGATAGGACAAGGGGTAACGGGTTAAAACTTAAACAGAAATTTAGATGGGACATAAGGAGGAAATTCTTTCCTGTTAGGGTGGTGAGGCACTGGAATGGGTTGCCCAGGGAAGTTGTGAATGCTCCATCCCTGGCAGTGTTCAAGGCCAGGTTGAACAGAGCCTTGGGTGGCATGGTTTAGTGTGAGGTGTCCCTGCCCATGGCAGGGGGGTTGGAACTTGATGATCTTAAGGTCCTTTCCAACCCTAACTATTCTATGAGTCTGTGATTCTAAGGTTTCTTGCACTGTTATAGTAAAGAGCCACAGTCACTCTCTACCCTGTTTCTCGAAGCTGAGCTAAAAAGAACATCGTTCAGGTACTGCAGCAGCCAGGATTCTGAAAAGTAGTGATGAGCATAAACAGAAGCCTGGGAAGAAAACAAAAGTGACCTGGTCTTACTGTAAGACTCAGCATCTCTGGGGCTGAGGTTATGGCACTACCCTGTTCTTCTGAACACCCTTCCAACACCCGGTGTCTCTGGACACACTGTTCACAGTGCTGCAGTCTGACAGAGAGGAATTGGAAATGCCAAGGTACTGAGATTTTGTGAAGTATCCTGGTTATTTCTTATGAGGTCCCATTCCACATCCTCTGCTATAATAGATGAACTTAGATGGTTCTGAAGATACACCACAGGCAACAGCCCTACATTATAAACTGTTTTTCTCCATAGCAACACCCACATAAAAGAAAAACCCTTGTGGCATAGTCTGCTTGTCTGATTATAAAGGCAATTCTTTCCTTTTGAATGGTAAGTAGTTTCTGAAGGGGAAAATGTGAAAAAAA